AATAGGGAGGACGTAATTAAAATTATTCATTTGATATAAGTGTACATTATTATTTTTTTCTTTGATTTTGGGTGGACACAAATAATATATTATACAAATATACCATATACATACATAAGTAATAAAAAAAAAAAAAATTGAGGGGGGCACTTGCCCACCCTAAACAGGGCTGCCTCCGCTCATGGGAGTGGCGGTGAGGTAGTTTCAGGAGTTGGGATGGTGAACGGGTGGGGTTGGAGTGACGGCGAGGTAACAGTGGTTGGTGGTTGTGGGCGGCAGACACTGGTGGGAAGTGATGTTGGAAGTTTTAATGCATATTTTTAGCAAGGTAAATTGGTATAATCATTGAAATTTGATCAAGTTTGTTGTCAAATCAAAATAAATTAATGTATTGACCAAAAAAGATAAAATTAACATAATTAGTTTAAGAGATAAAATTAAATTCGACTTACTTAACAGATAAGATTGAATTCGGTGACAACGTCACAAGGTTTAATTCGAATTAGGTGTTAAATTCACTGTAATGTTTGTAACGTAAGAGGGTGTCCATGTAATAAAACTAATGTCAATGAGTGTAGATATTGTTTACCCTTAATTCTATTGTGGANGTAAAAGGGTGTCTATGTAATAAAACTAATGTCGATGAGTGTAGATATAGTTTACCCTTAATTCTATTGTGGGTGGTACACAAACCTTTATAGTCATGGGAAGAATTTTGGACCCCAATGTCCAAAATCACTGGTAAACAACATGTGGGAGTTTGTTTGGGAAAAGAAACAACTGCACTAATCGAGGGATATATAAGCCACAACCCATTATTCAACTTTTGTAAGGACCGAGCTTACTAGTTACTCTTAATAACTATCGCTCTTATTATTAAATTTTAAAATTGTAAGTTTAAGCCTCGTCACCCTCTAGTGTGAGAGCAAAAAAGAAAACTTTTGCCAGGGACCAAAGCTTCCGGAACAAAAGTGAGCACAAAAGACTTGTCCCTAGATAGTCTTGAGGTAACAAAAGGAAACAATGTTTTATCGAGTGTTAAGTTTTAAAATAGGCAAATGTGTAATTGGGGACCATGAGGCACATGGAAAGAAATTGGGTACAGTGCCCAATGGTCCCATTGTAGGCAAGTGCCATTCATGGTATAAAACTTTTTTTTTTTTCATGGTATAAAAATTTTACAGCCACAAAACATGGTAATTCCTGACTTAATCCCGGTTTTATCTCTGGTACAAATTTTTGTATGCAACGACAAACAATCGAGAGTTGAATATCTCATTCTTATAGTTGTAATAAAAAGAAAAACAATAGTCCCCGACCGATTTAATCTCAACGACAAAGTTTTATATGTGATGACTTCAAATATTTCAACCACACGTTGAAGTTAAAATTTGACAATTATAAAAACAGTTCAACTGATAACGAAGACGAATTTAAATATTGACAATTTTTTGGGGTTAGGATATGAAGAAATTATCTCTTATGAATATTCCTAGTACTAGTGTAGATAGTTTGCCTTTAACTGAATCGGAAAGAAAGAATAAGTCAAATTATACGTAAACTGACTTGAACATTCCTGATTATTGAAATGGAGAAAAAAGTTAAAATGAGATTAATTTATAGAGAATTGCCTCTTTTCTCATAAAGGAAACAAACAATTTTCTCACAACTTTTCATTTCACCTTTTTTTTCTTTTTCTTTTTTTTCAACTTTGTCTGGTTTTGGTTGTTACAGTAAAGACCATCAATCACTTGGTAATTTGTCAAAACCTACTCAAGTTCCTCTTGAAAAATTACCTTCTCGTAACAACTGGGTTTTGATTATTACCCAAGTTTTGGGTTTGAAAGTAAGTTTTTAGATTATCTGAATCTTAATTTTCTTGCCGTTCACACTAATATCTTCCCTCTCTTCAGACCCTACCATCCACATTCCCCCCCCTCCCTAGTACCCCACCCACCACCCCATCCATCATGGCTTTCTGCTACGTTGCAGTCTTTTCTTTGTTGAACTTGAAACTATCTTCATTCTTACCGACTTCATCGTTCTAGAAACTCTCCCGCTGTTTCTGTTTGCAAACTAAAATTAATTAAAATAATAATATTTTTTAAACTAAATTTTTAATTTTTATTTATTAATTTGAGGCATCATAATCCTTGAATAACTAATAAATTCCAAAAAAAAAATAAAATAAGTCATCAATCTAAAGGTTCTAATACATTAAATTAACAAATTAGATCAATCGAATCGAAATAGTATTGCCATGTAAATGCCTATTCACACTGCTTTTTATATTTGTGAAAATCAGTATTCACACACCCTTGCCGGACTACAACACGTGAGTTAATAGAAGCAAAAATACCCAATTGAATGGGAGAGTGCTGTACTTAACACATACGGCCTCTAAATTATGATATGTGGATTAATTAAGCTTTTGAATTATTTTTTGTATCAATTAAGTTTTTAAATTTTTTAATTGTGTTAATTGAGTATTTCTATCTGTCTTTCTTAGACTATGCGATCATATAGTCGCATGAAAAATCTAATGAAGGCAATCAAAAATGACTCAATTGATACAATTAGAGAGTTCATGAACTCAATTGATATTAAAAAAATCAGGGGCATAATTGACACAAGGGTTATAGTTTCATAGCCATATGTGCAATTTACTTTTTGTTTAATCTTAAGTTAATAGCATTTTTGGTTTTTAAAATATGCATTTTTATCAATTTAGTCCTTATTGTATTAATTTGATCACTAAAGTATTCAATATGTATCATTTTATTCCTTAATTGAATAATTTGTCAAATTTTTGACGAAGTGACCACGTTTAGAGGTTATCACGTATCCAACATGTGATAATTCCGTCAAAAACTAAACGGTCTATCTAGGTAAGGGTTAAAATGACACGAATTGAATATTTTAGGGATCAAATAAATAAAATTATTATAATCTGAACTAAACTGATAAAAAAATGCATACTTTAAAAACAAAAAGTGATATTAACTATTTAATCTTTTATAAATGGTAAATAATGGAAAAGGAAGGTTGATGTTTGCTATTTGATGGTTTTCAATGAAATTGGAGAATGTTTTATTGGTAAAATGATACTTTATACCCCCTACAAGATTTTTAAAATTTTAATTTATATCTTGAAAGTTTAAAATTTTCAAATTTTCACCCTCAATTATATAAAAAGGTAATAATGTGGCCTATTTTAATAAAATAAAGTATGCAATTTTCGTGTAAAATGTTTAAAAAGATTAATATATTAATAATTGAGCATGAAAAATGGAAAAATATAGAACTTATAACACAAAAATGTGTTAGATAAAATAGCAAATTCGTTATTTGGGACACATTATTACCCTTTTGTCTAATTAAGTGTACAATCTAAAAAATATATTTTTCTATAATTTAAATATTATTCAAATTTCAAAGCGTAAAATGAAATAATTTATCTATTTATAAAAATAAAACTAGATAAATTTAATTTTCTTTAAAGTCCGTAAAACGAGAATTTTGTTAATTGGGTACTCACGACTCTTTATCATAATTTTGATAAAGTGTTAACCAAATCCAATGATCCCCCAACTGAACTTTATGGACTTATTGCAGTAGAATATTATCATCTAGGCATTTGCAACATAGGATGAGGCGTGGAACATGACACTGTTGGGTTCAAAGTTTGATGCTACCCCTATGTACTAGGTATGAGGTGATTAACATTGTATTAGCCAGCAACTATAATTCGAAAAAGAACATTGTGTCAACCACTGTGACGAACTTAGCTAAAATCAGCCGTAATTATATCATAAATTTCTAATTTCTTTTCCTCATTATATCATTTTTTAAGTTTATTTTTCATATCGCCATTATTTTCTATTAAAAAAAAAGGGTTTAAATGCATCAACATAAAAAAACGTCTTTGCAAACACATTTTTAAGGTCACCATTATTTTCTATACAAAACGCGTGTAGCAAAAATAAAAAAATCAATAACTAGTATTTTACTAATTTAATTTGTAATTATTGACTTCAAATCTCAAATTTTTTTGGGATAGTTAAAAGATTATTGAATGATTAGTCAAATGAATTGATTCACAGATAACAACAGAAATAGAACCTTAATCTTTCATGAATTCCTCTTAGCCTTACTTCTAGAAATCTTGACTTCGTGTTATAACAATTGCGATCATTCAATAGATTGTTTTGTATTGAATTCGTATGATATTGTTTTAAATTTGACTAAATTTATTTACAACCTGTTTATAGTCGAGCATAATTGTGTTGTGTTATGAACTGAGACTTAAAAGACATTTCAATTATTGATTCAATTAGTACTAAATTCATACTAAATAATTTAAGTGTTGATGGAGTGACGGATGAGGTTAAGAATTATATTAAATAAATTAGAGGATTTTTGAAACGATTTGTCAAAAGATGCCTCGGAATTTTTAAATTGCAATCATAACACAATAATTAAAAAAACAAACGTCACAGCACATCGAATAATCCGCTAGGTTGTGTGTCTATTACCATAGTATCATCTATAACAATTGAATAGGTATTTGGATGTGACTATATGTCTTCACTTGGTGAAGATTTTTTGCCCAACTTTTAGAAATACAATCCATAATAAAAGATACAATTTTTTTTTTTTATTTTCCTTCTTTTTAAAGGTTAATTTTCATGATAATATCTGAATGAATTATAAGCCGAAAACAAATAACAAAATAGAACCATAAAAAGAAATAAAAAAAAAAAAAAATAGAATACAATCCTCTAAATGAAAGCCTTCGGTAAGAATTAATCCCAAATATCAAGGGTGACAAACTAGTATAAAGATTCATTGTTGCATATATATAAAAAGAAAGTTGTGTTAAAGTCAAGTATTTCACAAAATGCTAAAAAAACTAGTGTCAAACACATTATTCTGGTATGTTAATAAGAAGAAGGATAATCAAAGTATTACTGTTTTAGCTTCATCTTGGAAAGATTGATCCCAACAACACTTTCTGAAATTTTATGCTAATCAAATCAAACTTGAGGCAACATTACACCAACTAAAACATCACTCTCACCTCTTATTCAAAGTCATGTAAGATACACATTAGTACTGGATCATTGACCACAATTGACTGGATAAAAAAAGGCAAACGAGGGAAAGTAAAAAAAAAAAAAAGTACATGAACCCAAGTGACCAAAAACAAAATTTAAATTAAAAAGTAAAATAAAAAGAAGTCTTCCAAGATGCAACCATTCAATATTTTTAAAAAGTACAGTAAAAAAGCTCAGAGAGAGAGAGAGAGAGAGAGAGAGAGAGAGAGAGAGGTAGAAAATAAAAGACAGGATTTGACACCTTTGGGTCTGTCTCTCTCAGTGTCTCTCACTTAACAACTCAACAAACAAAGCACTCCAAGTGGGTGCTGAGTTGACACGATGCATTGACTTCAACAACTCAAACTGAGTTGACTCATTAAGACTCGCCGCCGCCGCTGAGTTGCCAAGCGGAGGTGATGATAAGAGGCCGAGTGTGCCAACCCAGCATGAGACACCCGTCGTTCTCCTCCACTCTGTACCCATCTCCTCCGGCGAACAAAGCCAACAACATACTCGCCTGCTTAAATGCGTTAGACCCCAGATGAGCCGGGTCAAACCCAGCCGAGTTCATTCTATTCCGCCACTGACTCAGCGTCTCGTGACGCTCAAGTCGTTCACCGCCTTCACAAGCCAAAACGTTACAAATCTGCCGCCCCAAGTACACCTCCGACATCAACAAGTCCTGACTGTTCGTCTGACTCAACCCGGAACTCTCCAACGAGTCAAACATGGTGGAATAATATTGTAAAGCTTCGTTAAACCTGTCCAGAAACAGAGACTCATTGTGATTCGCTTCTTGTTCGACCAATGTCACAATTTTGGGTCTCATGGCTTTGATCGAATTCAAAACTTTCTCAATCGCTCCTGGCCGAGAAAATAACCGATGAAGCTCGAAAACTGAGTTCACCGCCACCGCCTCGGTGGAGCTCGGCCTAATATCAAGCATGGAAGCATCGATATCGGCCAATGAATTGGCAACAAAGCCACGGAATTCAAATTCAACACCAATGGTATCGGCCAATTGTGCTAGCTTCCACCCAACTTGTTGTAGAGCATCGGTGTTGTCCGACTGCGGTGGGCCGATTCCGGTGAGCCGAAACGCCGGAGGTCCGCCAGGCCGTAAGGCCAGCGCTTGCATAAGCGCCGGCCATTGCATACCTTGCTTCAAGCTAAAATCGATGACATGAACTCTGGTGGCTCCTGCAAAAGCTTCAAGAATCGCTTGATTTGCTGTGAAATGAGCGAATTTGAGATATGGGCAAGTCTCATAGAAATGCATCTGTAACATTTCAGAGTATGACGATTCGAGAGACTCTTGTGGGTAAATCTTGTAAATCCTCCGAGCCAGAGCTTCGGCGAAATAGGTCGCGACTTTCCTCATAGCGCCGCCTTGCGACACCGCCAACAATCCTACGTGCTTCAGCAGATTGTCGGCATGCTTGAGGTTGTCTTGTTGAACCGCCTCAGCACACGCCACCAAGGTGTGGACAAGGCGGACGCCGGTTTCTTGTGAGTCAACGAGCACCATCGGCCGCGTTGACTCTGCAGGGGCTATATTGGGTACGGCGCCAAATTCAGATCCTACTGAGGGTTTCAGTCTTTTGATTCCGCCATGGCTCTCTGACTCCTTTTCTTCTCTGTGAAACAGAGCACAACCAGGAATTGCTCTCAGGTCATCGTCGAACATCTTGGTGTTCTGATCACTCTGTTTATTACTCGAAAAATCAATAATATTGATATTTCTTGAGGAGTCGCCGCGAATTAACACACCATCTTCAGATTCAGCTGCGGCTATGACTGTCTGGTATGGAATCAAATCAAAATTGTTTGAGACAGAACCATTAAGCTCTGACAACATGCTTTGAACCCACCCAGAAAGATCAGAAGGATTGTAATGAACTTTATCAGTTGAAAGATACGATATTCCATTATCCATGCCAGTACCCATCACCATCTCAAGCTGCTCAAGCTTCTGAGCCACATCAGCCATGTCCGACGACCGGACTTTGTAACCCAAAACCGCCAGAAGCTCATCCATCCCGGCGTCCGGTTGTTCTTCACCCCACACCTTCATCTTTCCTGCCGTCACCGGCGCCACTGAAGAGAGCTCAGGCTTCTCACGATTACGATCTCTCTTCATTTTTTTATCCAGATGGGTATGTAAAAATCGATTCTTGAAAAGCAAACGATTAAAGAAACTTGGATCACCTCAAGTGGGTGTTTGAGGGTGGATAAGCTTGGTTTTTTGAATCACTTTTTTCAGTGTATTGTTTTGAATTTTTTCTGGGGAAGAAGAAAATGGGAAGTGCTCGTGAAGGCGCGAGCTTCAAGAGAGGAACAGAGAGGGTCAAGCAGAGGAGATAAGCGAGAAGCAAAGAGGCCAGCCACAATAATGCTGTTTTTGTGACGTTTTTTATTCCAATTTTTTATTTATTTTTGGAATTTTTTAAAATTATTTTTTTGGGGATTGGCCAGCCAATTACTTAAAAGCATCCAGAGCCGTGGCATCACGGCAATACCATAAAAAGATGCCACACATGCGGCAATTGATCAAATCAAGTGCTCGTTTGACTATCAGTCTCAACCACATTAAGACCATGCAGCTTGAGATATTAATATAGCCTCGTTCGATATGGAAAAAATATTTTTTTTGTGTTATATTTTTATTTTTTAATTAATAATAACATGTTATATGCATAATTTTTTTATTTTACTCATGAGAGATTATTTAATTCAAAATTAATGATTAAAATCGATGCAAATACAATATCTAATTTTAGTGTCGTGACCTTATCTAGATTAATACTGTGTGTAGGTCATAGCAAAAGAATGCCAATTCAATATAATTTTCGATATTTTTTCTTTATCAGACTTTATAAAAATCTATGATTATTAATTTTTTTGCTCATGAAAAGCTTATTAATGGTTACTTTGTTTAATAGAAAAAGAGATTCTAGCTGTGGACTTTTTATTCACAACACAAATATATCAATTTGCATATAAAATCAATTAATCAAGATAAACTTAATGTTAGATAATATAATACAATTAATAAAAAAAATTAAATTAAAGAAGTAAACTTGATACAAAATTATGAATAATGGTCTACGAAAGAATTGATTGTCACCCCCCCCCCAAAAAAAAAAAAAGAATCTATTGGGGTTATTGATTCATTCGATAGAAGTGATGGAAAATTGAAATGATGAAAATTCATCTACGGAGGAAAAAAAAATATTTTTAATCCTTTTTGTTTGATACCATGGAAGAAAGGTTTGGGAGATTAATTTTCTATTCTTTGGTATTGAAGAAAAAATGAAAGGAAAAAAAAAACACTTGCAAACTTAATATACCATTAGACCCTTACATATAAAAAAATAATTTTTTCAGTAAAATAAAACTTTTCGAAGATTTGAACATGTTCAATGTGGCTTTAATTAGCTATAAAAACAAATAAATATATTAGATATATACAAAAAATAATAACTAAAAACATATATATGATAAAAATAAATATATGTGACAGTATGTTTTGTAGTGTCTTTTGAAAAGTGTGCAAGTTTTAAATTAGGAATTGTGGCAGCGTATTCAGAAGTAAATTATTTAAGGGTAAAAAAATTAATTTATATAAAATAATAGTTTGTCTTCTATTTTTATCTTATTTTCCTCCCACTTTTGGAGGAAACAAATTGTGAGCTGAAGAAATATACTCTACCTCCAATTTTCCTCTCTCTAATATTTTCTTTTGAAATTAAATAGTTGAAAATTTTTCTCTTTATCCCATTTCTTTTTTACTATTTTTCATCCACTCGACTTTCATCGAACCAGACCATAAAGAGTAAAGCCGTGTGGGCCCCCAGAAAGAATACACCGCCGTTTATGGTTATCACAGCTCCACTTGGCTAGGTATTTGCACACAGGTATGCTAGTTGAGTAAGACTCGCACATTGTTTTGGATTTTGTTCTTCGTTGGATATATATACGTCTACGTTGTATATTTTTGGTTTATTGTACAAGTTTTTGTATTTTTTTGCTTAAAACTTGTTTATGTTTAGGATTGGTGATACTCAAAATATGACTAAGATCAAGCTTGGGCGTTTAGCTTGGCATGTCTGAGCTCGTATTGTGCAACTCATGGCGAATTACCAGAGGTGTTCAGGCCAATTTTTTTTAGCGACAGTTCAACCAAGATAATAGTAAGAATGACAGCTGCTAATCACCAAAGTATAACACATCAACCGCAACGATTTTATGTTTAGGTAAAAGAACCGTAATCACCAAGGCACCACCAACGGAGACTACATAACAGATGTGTCTGTTAAAGATAAGAGGCAAAGATCACGTTGGAAAATCAAACAAAACTCTAGGAGATTATATATAAATAAGAGGCATATCCCTCACAATAAAACACAAGCAACCATTTTAAACAAATATTTTGTGTAATTTCTTTTTATCAAAAAAATATTTTTCAAGAGCAAGAGATTCCTTTAAGAGTGGATTGACTGAGCTTCTAAGATGATAAACCATTATAAACTCCTTGTTTACAATTCCTCATCACGCTTGTCCAATTCTAAAGAGTATAGGAACCCTGACTGGATCATCTAGTGATTTCTTAACCATTGAGAATTATAATCTTGTTCAATTGCGCAACACACACCATCAAAGATTGATTATTAAACTTTTGGGCTTGATTTTTGCTCTAGTTTCTACTGAGCTAAATTTGAATATACTTAATCTCGATAAACACAGCTCAATTGACACACCCATTAAATTTAATTTGCTAACATTATGCCTCTAAAACATTTAATATCATCCATATTTGTGACTCTGATTAGTGACCATAATTTCTCAAAATTGAATAATAATAATAATAATAATAAAAAAAAAACTAGAAGTCGCTTTAATAACACAATGACTTAAACCTTATCTTCAAAATAAATTATTAGGATGTGTGATGTTTTCTTTAGATCCAGATTTCTTTTATTACATTTTGTTTTCAATCCATTTCAATTATACATCATCCATCGTTCATCGGTGGATAACCTAATTATATGTAGTAGGTCTCATTGAACTTTATGTTCTCGGATTTGCTTCTAATGAAAATTAAGAAAAAAAAAAAAAGTCGACCCTATTAAGTAAGTTCAAATAATAATTTAAGTAAAAGTTGGAGTGCCACAAGACAGACAGATTGAAATAAAAAATTATCCAAGTTTCATGTCTATCCCAATATCATTTTCCCCTAATGCTAAGAACTACGTACCTACAATTGAACTACCGTGATATAGTTAGAAATGAATAAACTTAGACACATAAATAACATTTATTTAAGTTGAGTCGTGCTACATTGAATTTGTTTTTAATACTAATCAATCATGTTCAATTAACAATTTCAAACGATGAACACTACTATGACTTGTTAAATAATTATTATTGAATTTGTTCGGATTGATGTGTATCACTAATAACCAAAAAACCGAGGACTAGGACTGCTTTGTTTCACAACCAATTCACCGCTACGGGCTGCACTCAAACTAGAAATCCACTTGTGCACGCCAAAAAACCAAAGAGTAGGGATAGTAAACGTGTGTTTAAATTTGGTTCAATTATATTTATATCTAAACAACTGAATTTTACGAATTCGAGCCCAAATTGAGCCGAGTTTATATAGTTCGTTTTCTAAACTAATATAAAACATTTGTACAATCTCAAAATAAATCGAATTCGAATCGTTTTACCACCCGTACCCAAGATCAAGACTCCCTTCTTTCCCGACCAAGTCCACACCTCATAGGCTCTACCTATACTTAAAATCAACTTGGTTCAAATTCTTCTTCAAAAAAAAAAGAAAAGAAGAAGAAGAAGAAGAAGTAGAAATTAACTAGTCTCACAAAGGACCACATCAAAATGAAATATTTTCCTCACCGAATACATAAAAAATCATGTTATTTATATTTTATTATGAGTTTAATTAATTTATTATTCATGTTAACAACTCATCTTATCGTCACTCAAATTAGAATTGATTGATTCCAATCAATTATCATTATTATTATTAAATTCATTTCATATAAGTGTATCATGTACAAAATTACCAACATAAAATCTTTGATGATAAAGAGTTCCTTGCGATGGTTGGTTTGTCTATATTGTTTTTTGAGGTGGTGGTGGTTGTCTTTGTTCTTTTATTCTCATTCTCTTTCTTTTTCAAATGGGATGATATATTTTCTCTTTTCTTTCTGTAGTTCTCTCATTTTGAGTGTTTTTGAAATACCTTTCCCCCTAAACATAAAAAAAAGGAAAGAAAAGAGAAAAGGTTAGGTTAACATCATGCCCCGCCAATCGAGCGAGACTGTTACACCTTTCTTTCTTCCAATGTTTAGAAAAAAAAAAATGGGAGAATTACACTTTGTGCCCAAAAAATTAAGAATTTTTATTTTACACCTGTAAAAAACTAACATTTTTATTGGGCCATCACTCACATGAAGAAAACTGGACGGTCAACTTTACGGTCCACGCCTTCTAACAACACTGTTATGGACGGTCCCATAATAAGGTTAATACAGGGTAGCGGTACCACACGCGGAAGACCAACGATTCGGTATCGCACCAAAATCACGTCAGCGGGTCCCACGATAAGGACAATGAATATTCAGACGTCAACATCGGTTTGAGGACCTTCGGGGGTCCCACTGTAAAAAAGAAATACGTCGGAAAATGGTAAGGATTCAAAATTGACTCAATCGATATTCATAAAAAAATAAAAAAAATTGGTATCATCCATCCAAAATTTATTATTTTAAAAAATATATTTTAATTTTTATGTGTTATTTTTTAACTTAAAAATTTATTATAATTTATATCTTTTATATGTTTTTTTTATTACTATTGTGAATATTTCTACCACTATTATGATAAGTATTTTTATAATTTTTTTGATATAAAAGAATTTATTATTTTTTTGGATGATTTATTACATTTATGAATTTTTTAATCACTGTTTTAGATGTTTTTATTACTGTTGTGATAATTATTTTTACTATTTTTTTTGAATATCACAATAATAATAATAAAAAGAATACAACAATGTTAAAAATATCAACAAATATAATAGATTTTAGTATGGTATCAAAATTTTATTTTTCGCTACCGTTGTCAATTCCCCATAATTTAGGTAACAACAATTCTAAATTGACTAAAATTTCTTACCAAAATTTTCATACCAAGTGAAGTGATACAATTTTTACCGTCAAATAAATACATCCTATTAATATTCAATGATAAAGATTATATCACATCACTTAAAATGAAATACTTGATAAAAAATTTAGTAAGTAATTTAGTATGTATGGGGCTATGCTACCTAAAAAATGTGTAGAGTACTTT